CAAGCAGCAGCAGCAGCCACCAAGCAGCAGCAGCAGCCACCAAGCAGTAGCAGCAGCAGCAGCAGCGGCGGCGGCGGCAGCAGCAGCGGCGGCAGCGGCAGCAGCGGCAGCAGCAGCGGCAGCAGCTACAGCAGCAGCTGCTACCAAGCAGCAGCAGGAGCAGCTACCAAGCAGCAGCTACCAAGCAGCAGCAGCAGCCACCAAGCACTAGCAGCAGCAGCAGCAGCAGCGGCAGCAGCTACAGCAGCAGCAGCTACCAAGCAGCAGCTACCAAGCAGCAAGCAGGCAGCAGCAAGCAGCCAGCAGCAGCTAGCAGCCAGCAGGAAGCAGCAGCAAGCAGCCAGCAGCAGCCAGCAGCAGCAGCAGCAGCAGCAGCACAGTACGAAGCAGAAGCAGCAGGCACAGTACCAAGCAGAAGCAGCAGGTACAGTACCAAGCAGAAGCAGCAGGTACAGTACCAAGCAGAAGCAGCAGGTACAGCACCAAGCAGAAGCAGCAGCAGCAGCAGCAAGCAAGCAGCAGCTGCTACCAAGCAGCAGCCAGCAGCAAGCAGCCAGCAGCAGCAGCAAGCAGCCAGCAGCCAGCAGCAGCAGGCAGCCAGCAGCAAGCAAGCAGCAGCAGGCAGCTAGCAGCAGCAGCAGCAGCTACCAAGCTACCAAGCAGCAGCAGCTACGAAGCTACCAAGCAGCAGCAGCTACCAAGCTACCAAGCAGCAGCAACTACCAAGCTACCAAGCAGCAGCAGCTACCAAGCAGAAGGAGCAGCTACCAAGCACAAGCAGCAGCTACCAAGCAGAAGCAGCAGCTACCAAGCAGCAGCAGCAGCAGCAGGAGCAACTACCAAGCAGCAGCAGCAGCAGCAGCAAACCACCAAGCAGCAGCTACCAAGCAGCAGCAGTGGTAGCAAACCACCAAGCAACAGCAGCAACAGCAGCAAAAGAGCAGCAACTAAGAAACATACAAACAGGAGCAGCAGCAGCAGCAGCGACAAAGAACAGCAACAGCACGTTGGGAACTGAGAACCGGTCCGGGGGTGAAGGGTGGAGTTCAACCCGCGCGGGGGGAAGGGGAGGAGCAGAGAGGAGCAGAGGAGAGGAGAGGAGAGGGGGGGGGGGGGGGGTCTAACTCTGATATATCAGGCGTTAGCACTCAGGTCCTGGGTTCCCACCCTCCTTGCTAAAGCAAGACAGACTCCAGCTAGCTACAGCTAGCTTTCGTGACAAGCATTTGAACTTATCAGAAGCATGGCTGGATTTGTGCGCAGCACCTGCAGCTTTCACCTTGCTCCCTGTGTGTGGTCCATGGGCCGGCCTAGTGACTGGCCTGGCGCATCATTCATGATCTCTACTCTACTCTGGTTTCAAGGGAGGTGGCCTACTTACTAGCAACCCAACTTGCTTTGGACAAGGTCTTCTCAAGAACATGCACTCCAAAAACACCTACACAACAACCCTACGCAAACAACTTCTGTAAGTGCCTCAGCCTACAGCCTACAGCCTACCCAAGCCTATCCAACCCACGAGTATCAGAACAGCTGCCTACGCAGCATTGAAGGAGTTCCCTCTTCATCTTCTTTCCAGCATCTGAAAAAACTACTCAATGGATTCCCACACTTTAGAAAACGTGGGAACACCTCATTTCAACATACTTCAACCGCCTGAACCACGGCAAATCATCTGCAACACTTGAGGCCAGTCTTTCCAATCCCAATGACTTCCCCAAAGGACGACGAATGAACGGTCTCAAAGGAACAAACACAAAGCAGTGCAGGTATGGCACAAGCCTAGTCGCTGGCTGACACATTTTTCACAGCAAGGTCTGGCCTCCTGATGCGACAAGGTTTCCTCTTCTCACTTGAAATCCGCATGACCTGGGATGCCTGCCTACGAAGGTAATGGGGTCTTGAAGCTGCAACTCACAAGATTTTCCACGTATACCTGCCAATCTTACTTCCTATGTACGTTACTCTGTATTTCAGCATACGATGCGCTTCTCCCGACCCGAACATCTGTCCTCTCTACTGGATCGACCGTGGTCTACCTGTTCCTTTTGCATTTCCTCTGTTGCTTCTTTGTGCAGCAATTCTTCGGCTTCTTCACGCAAAAGCACAAGCGTTCGTAGGGCCCTTTCGCATCGCAGCTCTGCACGGGGAAATTGGGATCGGCCTGAAACAGCTCACCATCGTTGCTGTCCGGATCTGCCGAGTTGAAAGGACTGAGCGCAATGGGCCGTAGTCCAAGATCCCGGGCCACTTGAAGCAAGTCGGCGCCACGTGTGTTCATCAATTTTTCGACCTTGCATTTGCTGCCAAAGATACAGGTCTCGGTGCAAGACTCTCCTGGCGAAGGTGACAACAGCCAAGCCACCCCGGTGATACTTTGAATCCCTGGCAAACACTAAACGAAAGAACAACATATAAGACCCCCCACCATGAAAGGCCCACGAAGGCACTGAGACCATCCGCCTCCAAGAAAACACCTGTATATACTCTTCAGGAATGAGAACTCAGGTAGCTATAGTTTTTGATATACAACTAAGAAGACCTAGTGGTTCCCTTCGTCGCTTGTAGAGTCTGTTCTCTTCTGTTGTGCTGCGCATCACGAGTGCTGAAGTTCCTCAACCACTTGTTGTTAAAGCAAAATGCAAAAAACATCGGAAAAAACAACAACAACTAAACCCTTATAGAACACTTCGCCTGCCGAACGCGAAAGGCCATGTTTTGAAGGTGAGTCCTGAACGCACAGGGGCTCTCATCTGGGGATCCTTTTCTTGGCTTTTCTATGTTTTTCTTAGCAGCGGGGGTCATGGGACAACAGAGTTGTCAAACAAATACATCAAACTCACAACAAAGCACAACGAACATACAGTGAGCAGCAGCAAGAGAAATCCATACATCAAAAAAAACAAAAACAAGAACAACAATGACAAGAAACAATCACCAACCGCACGACAAAGAAAACAAACAAACAAACAGACTTGATGTCAGAACAAACGTAGACCGTCTTGTGTCAATCCCCAGGGCGGGTCACACTAGTCATGTGCCCTACATGTGCCCTGCCTTCCAAACCACTTTGGGTAGGAATCACTCGAAGTGAAATTGGATGTTCTGGCTCCAAGGGAGTGTAAATCCCCATCTACCGAGGATCCTTGCGCTCTTTTTATGGCTCCGTGTTGTTTGTTGTTTGGTTTGTATCTTTCTTTCGTTGTTTGTTGTTTTTTTGGTAGGTTGTTTTGTGGTTGCTGCTGCTGCTGCTGTTGTTGTTGCTGCTTGTTTCTTTCTTCGCTCGCTCCCTCGCTCGCTCGCTCGCTTGTTGAGTTGACAGTGGAAATTCGCTTTTGCGCACACCACGCAAAAAGTTCATGAACCATACTTTTAATCTTTGGGAGGTCGCCTTTCGGGCAAAAGTCGATGCGATTTGGAAGGCAGGGCACATGTATTAATGACTAGTGTGACCCGCCCTGCAAATTGACACAATGCCTAGACGTTTGTTCTGGCACCAAGTCTGTTTGTTTCTGTGTTGTCTTTGTCGTGCTGTTGGTGATCGCTTCTGGTCATTGTTGTCCTTGTTTTTGTTCTTCGTTGATGTATGTATTTCTCTTGCTGCTGCTCACTGTTGGTTCGCTGTGCTGTGTTGTGAGTTTGATGTATTTGTTTGACAACTCTGTTGTCCCATGACCCCCACTGCCAAGAAAAACAAGTTTTCTAAGTATTTGTAAAAATAGGCTTGGGCAAGGTCCATCTAGGTTCCTTTTTTTATTCCCTTGGAAAAAGGATTGGCAGAGTGGGCCCGAAATCTTGGAATCCATTTTTGCGAGGGTGAAAAAAGGAATCTGGGTACTGGTCAGCAATTGCCATGGGTGGTGGTTGGTACATGCTGGAAAGCTGTGCTGCGCACCAGCGCAACGATGTACCAAATGAGGGCCTCATGCAAACTGTACAGAATATTGCAGAATACCAGTGAGGGTCTCCTGAACAAAAAGGATTCGCTCGGTACGCTGCGTTCAGAACGCAAGTTTTTGAAACGCAAGTATGTACTGACTGAACGCCAAAACGCTCGAGCCGAGTGGTCAAAGAGTAAAACAATTAACGAGGCGATAACATGAACATCCCAAACTTGGAAAAAAAGGGCCTGAGTAAAAACAATCATGCGAATTTGCCAGGCAACATCAAAGCAGCGGAACCATGGCACTCAGTAAGCAACACAATTTTGCAACACAACCACATCACATTCAAGGTAAGTTTAAATACCAACTCCAAGGTCAAACGACACACAACAGCATCAAAGCAGCCGAACCCCAGAAACGAATGGTGACACAAACCCCCTCAACGGTGAAATATGAATGTTTATATAAAAAGTGGAAAAGACCACAATGTAAACATATAGAAAGAGGTGCCCGAACAGATGTTATACCAACAATGTGTCTGCCGAGTCAAACCATGCAGAACTGCACTCTGAATCACATGGCGCTGCATGTTCTATCGGAACATGAAGTCCCAATCCGTAACTATATGCCCAACACGTTGACACGTCGACCTGCTGAAGACCCAGGAAATTGTCTCAAGGTCCGGAGGATGGATTGAAATGGAACAAGAAAATCCCTGATTAGTCCCTGTAATTGCCAGCTGGACCAGCTGTGTTTCAAGTGGAGAAAAAAGGACGTTTAAAAAAAACATTATATATATATAACACTGTATATATAGGAAAGAAAAGTCCGGACACAATGCAGGAAAACGCCATTCCTGTGGAGTTTTATTCACATCTATGAGGCCTCCCTTTGACATGGGAAATGCAAACGAGCCCTTGCACGCCTGGCTTGCCCAGCAGCCAAGCGGTCTCACGGGTACCAGTGTCGGCTTTGTCCAGCTGAATGAATGAGGCCTCCTGAAAAAAATCTAAAGGAAGGCAGTTGATCTAAACGCGTCTGATTTGGACTCTCCAAACGCGCTGGCCGTGTTGCTTGACTTTCTGTCATCCTTTTCGGTGAATTTTGGCTGAAGCACGAAATACTTTCAATGGCCCGTGAGTACCAAACGTTTTGCCACAATATAACAACTCTGTGGCAGGGTCTATTGACAAGCACCATGAAAAAAGAGAAATAAGCACCATGAAAAAAGATAAATAAACATTCTCACGTTCTTCAGTGGAGCCCTCATTTCTCATACGTCATATTTTCTCATGGACCGAAAGATGCATACCGGGCTCTTTACTGTCTGTGTGTCAGACGTTTTTGTCCAATGTCGTTCTGGCGGGTTTTTTAAATGCATTGGGTCACCTGACCTCCTCACACGACTGGTTCAGCGAGTCGGCATGGTCTGCTGAAGACAAAAGTTCGTACCCTTGGAGGAGCCAAAAGGTGAGGAACAGCAGCGCCATAGCAACTCGACCCCACCACCGACGACCCTCTTTCGGCGCGGAAGCTCCGGACCCAATGAATTTACTGGGCCAACTTGGCAGCGGATGTTTTCGGCGCCTGCGAAACACTGGCGAAAGCCTCAAAAACAGTAACAAACATCGTCAATATTTTTTGATGGTCACTAGATGCCACTAGTGTTCACACAGGTAATATGACATGATAGTGAAAACTCATCAAACATGAAAGATCTGAAACACATTGAAACACCATGGGATAACAAGCCAAGCTTTTTAGCCACAAGTGCACAAGCTCAGCCGAAAATAATTCATTGTCGGAGAAAGCACTTCAAGGATTCAAGCACTCGAACCACATGTTTTTGCTGGTACGGCTGCGTCGCAGTTGGAGGCCACCTGGCAAGTCCATGGTACTCCCACTTCAGCAGCTTGCTAGTGTCACAAACACACCTACCCCAACACTTCTCACGCCACACCAAAGAAAAGCACGTCTACATCAAACCACTTCTGGGCATTCTTAGAAACAAAAGGTCAAATAAAATCCCAGGTTTTTCAATCGCAATACTAAAGCATAGCAAAACTATGACATGTGATGAGTCCGGGTTACAAAGACACACGATAGAAGATTCGACGCAGGAACTTCTCCTAAATACAGTACCCCGATGTGTGCACGCTACCTCCATTGTGCCTTGCGTGGCCATTGTGCCTCATCGTGCCTCATGGTGTGGTCACCACACGATAGTTCCATGCATGTTGGAGCGAACGTGCCACGTCCTGTGTATCACCTGATCCTGCGTGGCCATTAAGTCAACCCAACAAGGATCCGCTTGATGAATTCAGGTTGACATTGTCAGGGCCGTGGGCAAACTGGGTTATATATCTTGTCATATCTTCAACATAGGATGCAACTAGAGACCCCCTAGAGGCTCGCAGAAACCTTCATTTCAATACAAGCTTTTACTAGCAAAAACCTAGCGCTTCGACAGTACCACAAAAGAAAAACAAGTGGAAAAACACACTATTTTTGTCAATGTTGTTCCCTTTTTGGGGGCGGAGGTTACTTTTTTTTGGAATTTGGAGTGTTTGGGGTGTCCCTCCATACTTTCGAAGCGCATCATGTCATGAGTATACTCATGTAGCCGCTTGGGGCTCGGAAGACAGATGAAAATGCGTCGCCATATGCACATTTGCAAGAGTGCATGTTCTACTTGAGACGTAGCAGGCTAGTTCAGTTGCCATAGTTGATCCAGACACAAAAAGTGTGGAATTGCACCTTTGACCCCAGTTCGGGGGAAACACATGTAGCATGATTTCTCGGAATTGTAGCGGAAATACCCGGAATTGTCGCGGAATTACCCGGAGAGAAAATTGGACCATGAATGAATAAACCACTTTTCATTTCCTGCTTAACCACTTTTCATTTCCTGCCTGGCCGTCTTCGAAAGCAAAAAACAAGCTTTGTTACCATGTGTTCATCAACAAACCTTTATTCGTGTTTTCTGCGACATGGAGGTTGTAGGCATGTACCAATGTCTTAGTCGCGTTTGTGCTAGCAAGTAGCAGGAACATATTAAACATATTCACAGACCTTCGGACTACAACTTGTGACATCTTGCGACAAACTCTTGTGGCCGTGCACCTTGCAGGTTTCACCTTCACGGGGAACACGAAAACTCCCAACACCGGCCCGGACCTGCCCATCGCTCATCCTCTCACCTCAAAGAGCAAAGCGCAGGCAGTGCCTCAGGAGCCAAGTTTAGCACCCCTTCTCAGAGCCCAATTCCGGGATCGGTCAAACTTGGCACGTCTGGCATCCACCAACCCACCATGGCTGCCAGACTGTCAGGAGTCAGGATCTTCTTTTCTTCCGAAGCCTTTAATTCAAAACAGCTTCTGAACTCGGCACAGCCTGCACGTTCTTTGTCAAGTCGGTCGACACAGCAGCTGTGCGTGCACGGTAAACATCTGCAGTGAAACATCTGCCGCAACACGGTAGTGTGACATCGACCGGCGACCAAACCTACACCACCAAGGTCAAAATGGTCTTAAGAACCAACAAACTGACAACACCTCAAGATGATCTTGCAAGTTTTCGGTGTTGCAAGCTGGTCCGCGCCCTCTTGCAAAACAAGGCCCCTAAGTTTCAGATCTCCTGATCGAACTGTTCTAGCAGCCAGCAGCCAACTGCCAGTCCCACCCCAAACCTCACACTTGTCGAATAACTCCACTAGGACCCACCACTCAGTGAGAAACAGTTCACTCAGCAAAGCACATGAAACCAGCCAAAGCAGGTCGGGTATGTTCGGGTACAACAGTTGCATCTATATCTATCTATTTATAAATATAATATTATATATACAGTATATAGTTATATAACCAACTTATGTTCAGAATTAGTTAAACATAAGATCAAGCATCCACGGGAGCAACTGAGGTCGAGCACCTTTCTTTCGACCAATTCTGGCTGCTTTCTGGTCTTTTTGACAGAGTGTCAAACATAAAGACAAGCACTACGTACAACATGGCTGCTTTCTGGTCTTTCTGACAGAGTGTCAAACATAAAGACAAGCACTACGTACAACAATCTGAGAGTTTAAAAGGATCATCTGTTTCATTCAAAGACTTGTCTGACTACTAGAGTACTACTGGGACTGGGACCAACTGGGGCCAGCTGGGTCATCCTGGGGCTCCCAACTGATCAAACTTGCGCTTCAACCGCACTTTGTATGCAGCAGCACAAGTCCTGCAAACCAGAGTGGCTTTGCGCTTGGAGATCTTTTGACTGCTCGAGCTTCCCATTATCGGATTCACAGCCGCGGCCCCGCCACAATGAACATCCGCGATCCAGCTCACAACAAATTGCCACAGGAAGGTTTCTCTTAAGTGGAGCCTACGTGGGGATTCCTACGAAAACGCAAATGCCATGCCAATTGCGTGTGTCTTTTTTGCGAGCAATTGTCTCTACTCAATCGAAGTGGTCCATGAGAGTCACGATGAGTTCGAGGTTGAACATCTTCCAGGGGAAACGGGTGCTGTTTAGTCCCTAAGTGATTGGGTAATGGGCACCCGTAACCTCCATTGTAAGCATCCCTTTGAAACTCCTGGCTGATTCCCCCGACACTGCCAATTGAACATGAACTATCGTTCCTCCGCACAGGCCGAACACGCAGGGTTGAACGAGCCTACAGGAACAGGCCAGGAACGAGCCTTTTCGAAGTCAAGAGACAGCTGATCAGTTGGAATTCCGTTCACTGCACTTCACTGTCCGTTACATTGGATTTTCACAAACAAGCAGATGAACTAATCAGAAGCATGGCTGGATTTGTGCGCAGCACCTGCAGAAAAAAGTGGGAACACCTCATTTCAACATATTTCAACCGCCTGAACCACGGCAAATCATCTGCAACACTTGAGGCCAGTCTTTCCAATCCCAATGACTTCCCCAAAGGACGACGAATGAACGGTCTCAAAGGAACAAACACAAAGCAGTGCAGGTATGGCACAAGCCTAGTCGCTGGCTGACACATTTTTCAAAGCAAGGTCTGGCCTCCTTATGCGACAAGGTTTCCTCTTCTCACTTGAAATCCGCATGACCTGGGATGCCTGCCTACGAAGGTAATGGGGTCTTGAAGCTGCAACTCACAGATCTCAGTTTCCACCTATACAAACCTCACCAATCTCACTTCCTTTCGAACAAACGTCAACTGTTGAAGCACACGGTGCGTTTCTCCCGACCCGAATTCAGTCCTTGACCATGGTCTACCTGTTCTTTTTGCATCTCCTCTGTTCCTTCTTTGTGCAGCAATTCTTCGGCTTCTTTACGCAATAGCAAAAGCGTTCGTAATTGGCCGTTTTCGCCTCGCAGCTCTGCACGGGGAAATTAGGATCGGCCTGAAACACAGTACCAGCGTACGGGCCCGTACGAAGGAATTCGGGACTGGACACCGATCTGCGGTCAGTCAAGGGACTCTGCGCAGACGGCTGTAGTCCAAGATCCCGAGCTACTTGCAGCAAGTCCTTGCCACGCGTATTTTTCAATTTCGCGACGTTGCATTTGCTGCCAAAGATACAGGTCTCGGTGCAAGACTCTCCTGGCGAAGGTGACAACAGCCAAACCGGTGATGAATTGAATCCAAAGAAAATACTAAAAGAAAGAACAACACACAAGACCCACCACGAAGGCCCACGAAGGCACTAAGACTATCTGCCTCCAAAAGACACCTTTACTCTTCAGGAATGAGAACTCAGGCATAGTTGTTGATAGACAGTTAAGAGCACCGTTGGTTGCTCCGTCGTCGCGACAGCAGAGTCTGTTCTCTTCTGTTTTGCGCATCACGATTGCTGAAGCTCTTCAACCACGTGTTGCTAAAGCAACATGCAAAACAAACATCGAAGAAGCAAAACAACTAAACAATCAACGCGGCTACAACATGAACATCCCAAACTTGGAAAAAAAAACAAACGGGCCAAAGTCAAACAAAATCATGCAAATTTGCCGCGCAACATCAAAGCAGCGGAACCATCAACAATAGCAGCCAACAAGGTTGGAAAAGAGACATCATCGGTTATACAAACAGACATGTGCAATTAGAGCAAACCATTCAAGGCGCACGCAGGAACTCTAAGGTTCAAACATACCACGGTAAACAACACAACTTTGCAACACAACCACATCAAATTCAAGGAAAGAAACATGCCAACTCCAAGGTCAAATGACCACACGCGCTGCAAACAAGACAATTTTGCAACGTAACCGCATCAAAGCAGCAGAACCCCCAGAAACGAATGGTGAAACAAACCCCTCAACGGTGAAATATGAATGTTTATATAAAAAGTGGAAAAGACCACAATGTAAACATATAGAAAGAGGTGCCCGAACAAATGTTATACCAACAATGTGTCTGCCGAGTCAGACCATGCAGAACTGCACTCTGAATCACATGGCGCTGCATGTTCTATCGGAACATGAAGTCCCAATCCATAACTGTATGCCCAACACGTTGACACGTCGACCTGTTGAAGACCCAGGAAATTGTCTCAAGGTCTAGTTTCGGCGGATGGATTGAAATAGAACAAGAAATCAGTGCATTGATCAATGATCCCTGATTAGTCCCTGTATTTGCCAGCTGGACCAGCTGTGTTTCAAGTGGAGAAACAGGAAGTAGAAAACAAAAATACACACACATCATATAATTCATATATATATATATATATATCTATATAGGCAAGAACAGTCCTGACACAGTGTAGGAAAACGGCATTCCTGTGGAGTTTTATTCACATCTATGAGGCAAATGCATTTCGGCACTCCAAAAAATCGTTTAGTTTATTTCCTCCTATGTGGTGGACATGTTCCAAACTTTGCATCATATTTGTCCCATACCTCCTTTCAAGCCGTTCAGATCTGCGGGACACCGAAGAAACTGAACCGCCCTGTTCACGGCGCAGCCCTCAGCCCGCCCTGTAAAACGCCTGGCTTGCCCAGCAGCCAAGCGCTCTCACGGGTATCAGTGTCGGCTTTGTCCAGCTGTATGAATGAGGCCTCCTGAAAAAAATCTAAAGGAAGGCAGTTGATCCAAACGAGTCTGATTTGGACTCTCCAAACATGCTGGCCGTTTTGCTTGACTTTCACTGTATAATCCTTTTCGGTTAATTTTTGGCTGAAGCACAAAATACTTTCAATGGCCCGTCAGTACCAAACATTTTGCCACAATATAACAACTCTGTGGCTAGAGGGTCTATTGACAAGCACCATGAAAAAAGAGAAATAAACATTCTCACGTTCTTCAGTGGAGCCCTCATTTCTCATACGTCATATTTTCTCATGGACCGAAAGATGCATACCTGGCTCTTTACTGTCTGTGTGTCAGACGTTTTTGTCCAATGTCGTTCTGGCGGGTTTTTTAAAAGCATTGGGTCACCTGACCTCCTCACACGACTGGTTCAGCGAGTCGGCATGGTCTGCTGAAGACAAAAGTTCGTACCCTTGGAGGAGCCAAAAGGTGAGGAACAGCAGCGCCATAGCAACTCGACCCGACCACCGACCCTCTTTCGGCACGGGAGCTCCGGACCCAGTGAATTTACTGGGCCAACTTGGCAGCGGATGTTTTCGGCGCCTGCGAAACACTGGCGAAAGCCTCAAAAAACAAACATCGTCAATATTTTTTGATGGTCACTAGATGCCACTAGTGTTCACACAGGTAATATGACATGATAGTGAAAACTCATCAAACATGAAAGATCTGAAACACATTGAAACACCATGGGATAACAAGCCAAGCTTTTTAGCCACAAGTTGCACAAGCTCAGCCGAAAATAATTCATTGTCGGAGAAAGCACTTCAAGGATTCAAGCACTCGAACCACATGTTTTTTCTGGTACGGCTGCGTCGCAGTTGGAGGCCACCTGGCAAGTCCATGGTACTCCCACTTCAGCAGCTTACTAGTGTCACAAACACACCTACCCCAACACTTCTCACGCCACACCAAAGAAAAGCACGTCTACATCAAACCACGTCACTTCTGGGCATTTCTTGGAAACAAAAGGTCAAATGAAATCCCAGGTTTTTCAATCGCAATACTAAAACATAGCAAAACTATGACATGTGATGAGTCCGGGTCTCTGTATATACACACGATTGAATGATTCGACTATTGTCTTTTAAAGGACCAGAAACTTCTCCTAAATACAGATCGGCATCTAATTTCAGATCGTGGAAACGTTGAGTTCGGAGCATGTTTTCCTGCCGGTTTTCCTCACTACTGCAGTAATTGGATTCTTTTCGGGTACAAGGAAGGCCTTAGGCCTTCCTTCGGGTGGCAGCAACCAAATCGTACACATACTCATTGCTCGAGTGTTTTCTTTTTTGCGCACTAAAGGGTACCTCCTCCATGGCCATTAGTTCGTGGTGTGGTCACCACACGATAGTTCCATGCATGTTAGAGCGAACGTGCCACGTCCGGCCATTAAGTCAACCCAACAAGGATCCGCTTGATGAATTCAGGTTGACATTGTCAGGGCCGTGGGCAAACTAGGTTATCTTCAAAAAAGGGAGACAACTTGAGAATCCCCCTAGAGGCTCGCAAAAGCCTTGATATCAATATGTGTATATATATATACACACACCAATGTCTCAGTTTTGTTTGTGCTGGCAAGTACAGTAGCAGGACAACTATTCAACATATACGCACATACCTTCGGACTACAACTTGCGACAAACCCCAGCAGGAAATCCAATCTAACAGCAGCGAATTAGTGGCCATGCGCCGAACTCCCTCGCACCTTCCACATTCACGGGGAACACTGATCCCAACACCTGCCCATCGCCCATCCAAATCTCACCTGCAGGAGACAGCGCCCGCCCGCCCAAGCGCAGGACGGTCAGGAGCGGCACCCCTTCTCAGAGCCCAACAAAGACCGGGATCGAAGGCTAAATCGGCAGCCAGTGAGAGTTGGCGAGAGGTAGCCGAGATGGAAGGGTCACCAACAATGTATTAATACATCGGTTGAGCCGGAACCAGACTCAGCATACCAAGGAAACATATGGAAACATGTGTCCTGACTAGCCTCAAAAGGTTGGGGATGGAATAGCACGGCAAAATGACGGATTGTAAGACCTAACCATTCAGAAGACAAGAAGCATCAAACCGGGGGGGTCGTGATGTGCTTAAGGTTTTTGAACACTGCGACTTCAATCATCTTCTTCCAGCCATCCTGTCCCACCGTGTTGATGAACAAATGATGGACTGCTCTGAAGACTTGAATTGGACAATGCTCCTTCGCGCAGAACTTGGCATGGCTGGCATCCACCAAACCACCAAATGCCAGACTGTCAGGATAGAGAGATCAAGAAAAGTTCATCAATACCTTTCATTGTTCCATACCTGTGCCAAAACTCACTCCGTCTATCTCCTTCTTTTCTTCCGAAGCCTTCAATGAAACATAAACAGCTTCTGAACTCGGCACAGCCGAGCCGACACGTGGGCTGAGCCTGCACATTCTTTTTTGCAAGTCGGTCGACACGGCAGCCGTGCACGGTAAACATCTGCAGTGAAACATCTGCCGCAACACGGTAGTGTGACATCGACCGGTGACCAAACCTACACCACCAAGGTCAACATGGTCTTAAGAACCAACAAACTGACAACACCTCAAGATGATCTTGCAAGTTTTCGGTGTTGCAAGCTGGTCCGTGCCCTCTTGCAAAAGAAGGCCCCTAAGTTTCTGATCTCCTGATCTAACTGTTCTAGCAGCCAGCAGCCAACTGCCAGTCCCACCCCAAACCTCACACTTGTCGAATAACTCCACTAGGACCCACCACTCAGTGAGAAACAGTTCACTCAGCAAAGCACGTGAAACCAGCCAGATACCACATGGAGCAGGCCGCAGGCTGAGGAATTTCAAAACTCATGCGCTCACTGTCCAAACCTTAGTAATAACAGGATGCAACAGGATCATCTTCGACACAATACCTGTCATCTCAGTTTGTGACAAAAAACAACCCAAAGAAGGCATTTCCTCATGATCATTGAGTGGAAAAGCGTGTTTGGGCCTCAAACAAACTCGTCTTCCATCGTCTTCCCATGTCTTCAAGCAAGGCAAAAGGCCTTCTGTCTGCCTCACCACCCAGACAGACACAAAACGTGGAACCCGCCCTCCGCGCATCGACAGACCGGCAGGTCTCCGTTTCCGCCCAGAAACGATGAAGGCCTCGACCAGTTGGATGGGCCACAGAACGAGGTTGAAGAGGAAGGGCAATTGGAACCTCGGACGAGCGGACGGCGGCACGGACGAGCGGACGGCGGAGAACGGGGATCGAAAAAGCGGAACGAAGGGGATCTCCAAATGCAAGAGGTGAGTGGTCTGCAACACTTATGATCGAATATGCCGTGACAAATTGGTGGGGTGGATGACATAAGCTGATGGCATAAGCTGTGGCTTCCCTTGGCAAGAAAGGGATACGTTCACAAAAAGTTCTCTCTGGTGTATCACGATTGAAACCAATCCTCTCTGGTATATCACCTTTGAAACCAATTACTTAAATCATCTTAACGATATTAATGACGCTCGACGCTCACCATCAATCTATAGTGCAGGACATGTGTGTATGGATCGACAGTACTGTAAATCCATGTAAATCCTGGTAGTCTACATGTCATTCATTTGGTTTAGCGTTACACTATGTTACAGCCACAATTTGTTTCAAATCTCTGGTGGAGTGTCTCCTTGGTGACGATGTCTCCAGAGCTACATGCAGCATATGCACATCTTCGATAGTGACACCTATACTACCTCCGCATAGCTACAACATGATATAGAATCACCTTTTGTACCTATCCCTTCATCTATAGCTGTACCATCTGGTCTTCATCTTCTATAATTAGCCATACCTTTTGGGGGGGCGCGAAGAACACCTGATGAAGCGCGAAGAACACCTCTCATCTTGGGACCCACACCCCATAGCGAGTTGCATCAGGAATCCCAAGACGGCAATGGACCAGCCAATGGCCTCACAAAACCCGGTGAAACACGACAGATGAAGAAAAACAACTGGAAAACAAACCATCAACACACTGAGACAAAAACATTAGGTACCTCAATTCAAGTGCCTTTTGTTCAGATCTCTTCTTCATCACACATCCATCTCTCAAGAAAAAATAACACGGTCGGAGCAGAGGGCATCCCGGATGGAAACGCGACCCGTCCATCCGCGTCGCGACTTGGCTTCGACGGCCTCATCGATGTAAGTCTCTCGATGATCGACCACCAAGAATCCCTTCTCTCGTAAGAAGTCGACCTGGCACAAATGGCACATGGCTGATGTTCGAAGCCATGGAAAACACATACCTCTCTGGCGTTTAGGTCAACTCCACAAGCGCAGAAGATAGAAACATCATGACTCAAACACACATGCAATTTCTGGAACCTTTAGTAGCAAACATCGTGTTTCTTGAGCGTCTTCAGACTGTTACAGGGTCTTTCCCGGCACCTCTGTCCACTCAATGTCCTTTCTCGACCTGCAAGGCCTGGCTCAAGCCTTGCTTACCGCCCCCCCGGTAGAGCCGCCGCACCAAGTAGGCTCCAAAGATCATGCCGCCGCGGATCGCGCTGTGCACCGCCGAGATGATCCGCTGGATCCACCTGGGACCAGCGCGACGGCGGCGGGACCGCGCGGGCGCCGCGCGGGACGCCGCGCGCGGGTCGGTTCGGTTCCTGGGCGCGCCGGCCAAGCCAGAGAGATGGCCAGGGCTTTGCAGGTCCAACGCGTCACCACAGGCACCCACTTTTGATAGTCCTGGAGTTGTGGGAAGGGTGGAGACTAGGGTGGAGATATTGTGGAGATAGTATGAAAATGAGTGGGGTGAAGGAAGGACGTCTTTGGGAGGAGGGTCAATCAATGGCTAATATCATGTGAAAGAAGCATGTTGCAGTTATGACTTGCACTGGAAGGAATGTTACCTGCATGTAATGCATAAACGAACTGCCTACACACACATGAGCTACTTGTAAGGCAAGGATACCTTCACAGCTGCAAACAACTAGAAAAAGATCATTAAATATAGAACTTTCTGGGGGGGTCTATGGTCTTGCAATGCCATGCTAGCAGAAAGAGACATCAGAAGCTCAGTTACCAGGTTCAAGGACTGCATTTTGAATCAGGCTGCTCTCAAAACAGGGCTTGTCCAAACTCATAAACATTCCTCAACGACCACAATGGCTGCTGTCCATCCGTGTTCAGCCGAAAACTCAGGGCGCCCCGAACACGGGGTTCCGCGCGGCTCGAGAGCCGCCGCGCCACACAGGAACGGCCGTCGCCTGCCCGTCCTCCGCTCCCATCCTGGATCCTCCGCCCCCGCCCCCGCGGGTCCTCCGGGATCACCGACTCAATCGCCGGCTCCAGCTTCCGGACCGGCTCATAAACTTTGGCTCCGATCACCTGCGCGAATTGTGCCAAGCAACGCCCGAAGACGAAGCAGAAAGGGGGGGGAGGGTCTCCGGCAAAAGGGGCGGCGTGCCTTTTGTTTTTTGAGGGGGGGAGGGCGTCAACGGGAAGACATGGATCTATATGGGTGCAATAGCAACAAAAAGCTCGGCGCAGGAAAGGAACGCCCAGTGTTCAGACCTCAAGCGGTTTGAACACTTTAAGAGCAAGTTCCCAGGAGGTTCACCTGCCAAATACAGCATTTACAACACCCACGCGACATTCAGGATTGAATTCGGATTCCAATATAGGATCCAATTCATGATTCAAACAGGTGATTCAAATAGGTCTTCTGCCAAATAGTCTGTTTGGGGCAAGCTCACTGCCAGGCTGGACTGGTGAAAGCCCCCCCCTCCACCTTTCTTTCCCCCCCCCGAGGGTGATGGTCCGAGCCTCGGTGGGGTGATGGTCCGTTCACCCGGTGATGCTCGGAGCAAGCGCAGCGCACGTGGGCTGCGCAGCCCACCGAGACAGGTGTTACCTTCAACAACAAGCGCACGGATTCCGGATGAAAGATCCCGTCCCAAACGTCTCCTAAGGTGAAGGAAGTCTCCTAATCCTAAGGTGAAGGGGTGTGGAACTATACATGTTATTTTCTGTCGCCGCATTTGTTGTGTAATGATCTATATAGCTGCTGAGGGGGGGGTGTTAGGGGTATACACGTCCGTTCTTCGATATCGCCGTTTCGCTTCGTCCTTGGTTGCGGCCGTTTCCTGCTGGGTGCCCCGGCAAATTGCAAGCGTAAAACGCCCACCACGCCGATCCAACAAATGTAGATACAGGACTCGGGCGAGGAGAACTGCTTGGCCCAGTCTCATTGGCCAAACTGCTGGGTGCCCTTTACATCATATAATGAGAATATAGTTGCTATAGACTAGATTGGGTCTATCCATTCTTACCTGTAACAGTGGATGATGATGGTTAGTAAAGGCCTTGTTCAAACATGATGATAATTGTTTACTTACTGTTACAGGTAATAGGACAGACCCTAACTATAGATGTTACTAGTAGCGATGGCCTCCAACCTACTAGCGATGGCCTGAAAAACCTTGTAGCTTCTTGTCACTGATGACATAAGTATTTGCTCACATGTACCACTTCCTTCAGAGGAACAGCCATTGGTTTGGCGGCAAAAAAACACACAGCGCCATTGGTTTCACGTTTGAAGGTAGGCGAATTTGCAACACTAGAAACTAATAACTGACCTCGTCCTTCATCAAGTCGAGCTCGCTCGACGTCTTCGCTTTTCAGTCCGCACATGAACAAATAACCACTCGGTGGCTGGCCAGGGAATTGCTAACCTCAAGGGCTAGGCAAAATCAAAGCTTTCCATGTTTTCTAGGCAAAACCAGTCAAGCAAAAACAGTCAAATGATTGACAACTGAGTCTGCGATACTGCGCAGTTGTTTCTCTGTGGGCAAATATGGCAAAACATGCACCTTTTCAAGAAAGTGTCGTGGGAAATGGGAAGCACTGGAGTATGTATTGAATATATATACTCTTGCAGAACCACATTTGTTGGTCACACCTTTTGACCATGTCAAGCCCAAACATCACAGCTTTGGAGACATATTGCGCCCTCCCCGCCCCACATGCCCCCAACAAAGAACACGCCACAACATATCATTCATCTGCATTTTGGGGGCCTTCTCGGGGTCCATGACGCTTAAAGCGATGCTCATCTTCTTTTGGATGACTTGCTGCGGCCTCGCGAGCGCTATCGAAGCGCTATCGTGCCAGCCTATCGCGCTATCGAAGCGCTGAGCGCCGACGGCTCAACTTCGGGCTCGAAAAAGGGTCTCAGCTGGTTCTGTTCGTCCCAGCACCGAAAAAGGGTCACTGCTGTACAGGATCTGACCGGTGACCAACTGTAACATCAGTGGGTGGACATGGGACACCTTTTGGGAGTTTGGGCGTCCAGACTTTCTGGCAGACAATCACCACAAGTTGTCAGTCCCAGAGTCGGAAGGGGACAGGTATACCACATCCATTTTCCACTTACCATGTTAGTGAGTTGGAGTGGACATCGGATGAGAATGTTCTTCTCAGCTCGAGGCAAGCTTCGTCTCTCGCTCTCTCGTGCTTCGTCTCGGTGTGGCACTCGCCGCGGACTGGACGGCTCAGCTTGGCGCCCAACGTCAGAGATACGGCTTTCGAGTCTTTGTCTTCCTCCTTCTCGTCTTCTTTGGTGGCATCCTCAGCCCAACGTTCAGCTCCGAGAACAACCAGCTTGCCGAATCTTGACTGACCAAAAAGAAGACCATGTCAGCAGTCAGCAGCCTAAAACGGAACTCGCAGGAGTCTGAGAGCCCCCCACCACGACCTTCATGAATTCATGCAAGAGGATCTTGCTTTGATCCCACACCTGCCGCAGTTGGGGAAGCCTTGCCTCCTGCCAGACTCCTGCTATCCTATCTCAGAGTCGTGCTCGGAAGGTATACCGTGATACACACGCTCAAAACGCACGCCCAAAGCTGCGGTTCCTGCAGCATCAATTCCATCCTTGAAAGTATGAAAATCAGCCAGCCTCTGGACCACCACATAGGTTCCATGCCTGGTCAAATATGGACGTCCCATGCCCACCACTTTGGCTTGCCACGGGGGGGGGGGCGCTGAGTGAGTGATCAAAGGTCCCATGAAATCACTGACTCGTGGTTGAAACATGTCGAAACCAAGTGTCAGAATTCGTCAGATCGAGGCAACTCGTCATGGATTTGCCCATCCAAAATGAGTCCCATCACTCCACAGTGGCCCGGCTAGGCTAAACAAAGCAGAAACTGTAATAATTATTATATAAATCTTTTCAAATGCCGCAACCAAGACCTCTAAGACTCTAAGCAAAACAAACCACCCTGATGCGAACTCCAAGTCCAATCGGGTACCTCGGCGGCGGCGATGGTGGCCGGGAAAATGCCGCCGAAGAAACACACCAGGAAACCTCGGCGTGGCCGGGTGGTCGTCTCGGTGCACTGAAGCCCGGGTCTGACAAGCACGATGTGAGCCCAGAAACCAAGGATGGCCCAGAAGATCTTCTCTGGGATCATGCTAACGCCAGCCTCAGGGCATCGCTATAGAACTCGCGATAGTCTAAGTGCGAAGCAACGCGGACATCGTTCGGTGAGTAGCAAAGCACGCGGTCATCAGCGCATGTGCCAGCACATGCACAGCTCATGTTGGGCGGTGCATGTGCCAAGTAAAAACACTCAAGAACTCATCGAACATCGGTTTTCTTCAGCACCTGCTCTGACGCTTCTTGAACTCTAACCCCGACACCTGAAGTTTCTTCATGGCCTGCACCAGGTAAGGCAACGCCATCCTTGGACCCACACCATGCCATGTCTCGAGAAAACGGATTCGCGGCCAAAAGAAGACTTTGCTGAGATGTGATTGCTGCAATCACTATTATTAAAAAAAATATGAACATGGAAGAGGCGTGTTCGCGTGGTTTCCCCTTTGTGACCCACAGAAAGTCATACCATCTGTTTTGAAGATCTAAGTCTTTTTGGTCCGGCTTTCTTGCATAGACTCAAGCAAAGTCAAGCAACACTTCCTTTTGCCGCTAAGCCACAAGAAGTGGATCCATGCCGCAGCCAAGTAAGGAGCGGCACTCCTGATACTGCAGCGAACTCGATGAAAAAACAAACGAAACCAATGGAATTTGCTCCCCGAACTTGAGGAGGAGATCTCAGTCTCGAGCGGCCTCAAACTTAAGTTTTGTCCTCTGTTTGTTTCAAACAGCAGGTGCTTTTTTTTGTTTAATCATGCGAACACACAATCACACTTGTGGATACTTGTGGATGTTCCAGTGTCAAAAGGTCGCAGTTATCTGAAATAAGGGAATCAATGAACTATCCCCAATTGTTTTTGCCAAAATATGGACAACCCATGACAACCACAACAAGGAGATGTTCAATGATCTAAAAGTCTAAAATTGGATTGACACATGCCTTTGCCATCCTTTGTTCCACCGTCCTCGTGGGATTCCGGAACTTCGGTGGAAAGTTCTGAGCAAACTCCTGGCGTTTGACGGTCGCAGCCTGCGACCCACAAATCTGAAACCATCTGAAACCCCAAGGCCTTTGGGTTTCGAATCCAGATCAACAAAATTCTTCGAAGGAACCGACCGACTGCATGGAGAGGAACCCTGTCTTCATGGTGGTAGATGGACACCCCCCCCGGCCTTTTCACGCCTTTTCACCTCAAGAAGGGGCTACAATTGAGGCTACTCGACGCCCCGTCCAGGGGGCGCCTTGGTGGATTCTTGGATGGTCTACACGGTCGGACCTGAAGTTCTGCCTCTTCCACCCCGCTGGCCTCGATGCTGGTGGAGACACGCTGGAGCTCCGCTTCGGAGGCCTCGGTGAACGGTTCGAATGGGGCGAGCGCACGGAAGGGAAAAGGGCGGTGACTGCAGTGGCTTGATGGAAACTATATGGTTGTGAGCCCCGAACCGGGTGGATTCCAGAAGCAGTTCAACCAGTATACATATGCATATATGTGCTGGTCACTCGGCATGGTTACATCTTGGTCGTCCGAAGCCCTTGGAACAACGGACTTTAATTAGGCGCCCCCCCCCGAACAGAAATTGGTTTACTTCGAACGTGCCAAATGTAGCCTTTGGACAACTAGTGTGCATGCTGCATGTTGCTACAAACAGGAGGCTCCTGCCATTTCTACGGGCAATCCCAGAATTGGTAAGGGAAAAGCTGCGCACCCCGGTCTAGGATGATAAACGTGAGCGTGAGTGGTGCAGGGTTGGCGTGTTCCTGAGAGGGGCTCCGGTAAGCGCTGGCCGATGTCGGCGTGATGTCGGAATCCATTGGAATCTGCCAAACAATTGACAAGTGCCTGGACCCCCAAGTGGTTAATTAATGGACACCCTGGACCCCCTTGGTGCTGGTGACAAATGCGTAAATTCTTTACTGGTTCCGGACCGTCAAACATAGTTGACCCGGTGAAAGCGTTGCCCAGAATTTGGTCTGTGGCTCGATATATCTCGATATCCCCCCCCTGCTCCCTCCTGGACCCCGGCTTCCCCCATCGGGACCAACAACAGGGACAGCGGCAACAAGCTTTATGGATCTTATGGCAACGCCGGTTTGCGAAGCTCTTAGTATACAGGAAAAAGCATGGTCTTCACCTCCAAAACTATGGGTTTCCTGTCCATGTTTTCTTGAACTTCTGGGGAAAACTTTTGAACACTTCGGCTCTGCAGCCCCCTGCTTCTTAGGCAATTGATTCTTGAGCCAACAGCTTGAGAACTCTGGAAATTTGAAAGCGAACTCACCTTCCGTGCCTACCCACCTGTCCGGCTTTCTGTCCTGTCCGATCCTCTGTCCAATCCCCCCCGTTATCCTGGGGCCCAGGGCCCAGCCCTTCGAGAGCGTCTCCTTTTCTCGCTTCTTTTCATTCTTGGCCGCTTTGGCCTCATCGGCATGTCTCTCAGATGGATGAGACTGCAAGTTCAGACTCCGTGGTGTTCACCATGTTTCCACCATGATGTTCAACATGTTTCTATGGGCTTCCAACGAACAAAAGGAGGGCGACAGCTTCTGCCCTCCAGCTTCTTCTTCTTCTCAGTTCTGGAATGCCCGAGCATGCCGGGACGGGTTCACAAACCTGAAGGGGGAACCATGGGCGACATGTTATCTTCGACCGCTGTGCTTCCCTCCGGTTGCTCTAGTTGTGCCCAGAGTCATCTCTTTGTGATAAAAGCGGTGATCGTCTCTGAGAATCCTGTGTCAAGCCTTCAAACGATAGCACCAATTAGTCAGCTCATGTCAGCTCCTAATTATCTCATCTGATACGCGCCCGCTTCCGTAGAACGCTTGGTTAACCACATGTGTCTCAGAATCAAAATAGCCAATGCCTCACTCACTCCCGAACATGTACACTCCGACTCACAAGTCCTGGAAGTGGAAAATCCCCTGTTCGTAAAGGATAAAGTAGTCTTCCAAGGGACCATTCTCCACTTCCATGTTAGTGAGTCTGAGTGTAGAACAAACGGACCGCTCAATCCGCAAATTCCGTCACCCGCAGGAAGCTGCTGCTAAGCTGCCATCCTGCCAGGGTCTTCGCCCCTTGGCCAAGGGTCCGTCGCAGCGTCGCAGTGGACTACTGGCGCCCGCTGTGGCCGGAAGGTACTCATGAGAAAAGCGGCGGCGAGTGTGAACGGAACATACCGTGCCTGGCAAACTCACAGAAAAACAAAACTAGAAGGATCAACTGGCAATCACTCGGCAAATTTCTTACAGCATGTCGAGAGCAAATACAGTTATTATGTATATTATATATTTCTGCAAGCACTTTCACGATCAGCAATGAGGCCATGTATAGTGTTATATACCCTAGAATTCAAAGGACGATAAAATTTATAGGCGTTGGCCTAAAGACTAATGGAAAGACAGTGGTAGACACTCCCATCCCAGGAGGGGCCAAGTTCTCAAACTTCCCAAATGAAGCTTTGCCCCTTTTTCCAATCATCTCAAGCTGTGCTTGATCACACGACGCCGAGAGGACTCGTTCAACCTTGGTTTGGATGCTTCAAGGTGAAAACCTCCCAATTCTGGACATCAAACAAACTAACGACTTTGCAACTTTAAGACCTCCTGAGATGACTAATTGGGCAGTCCAAGAAACTCTTTCATTCGGTTTTTTTGCCGTCAGTGTCCTGCTCAAACGCACGGCATTCAAATGCATACTACTGATTAGGCTTGATATGGTTTGATTAGTGAAGCTAGCAGCGTATGAAAGATTTCATCCAACACTACAGGCCTGAGAAGCCCACAGCGTGTAATCCATTTACAGCGGTGCTTCGGGTGACCTTTCGAATATACGCCTGGGGTTGATTGAGATATTGTTCAAGCAAATGACAGGGATGCCTTCAACAAAAAGCAACCTCAATTGAGGCTAGCATCATTTGATCCACCACATCCCATCCTCATCAGCAAACCCATGATGGTAGCGAGGGTTCGATCCTCAGGCGCATTGATCTTAGAAAGACGGCTGTGCAGATCTAGATATACCGAGCTTCTCCGAAGATAGCAATTGCGGATGATGTGAAAGAAGCCCTCAACACTGTCATGGCAGAAACATCAAGTTGGAAGGTTGAACGAATCTTGAAAAACAGTTCTTCCTTGTTATGTTTTTGTGTTAGCCAAAGGGCATGTGCTTTCGGCCGCATCAACCAAAGATGGGTGCCGTTCCTGGTCAGCATCACCATGTCTGACAAAGTATGGCAAAGTCAAGTGCACTTTAAGACAATGAAGAGGGCAGTAGTGAAACCTGCCTGAGGTTGTACCTCCAAAGGGCCATGTAAACCCTCAGGAAGTGCTTGCCGTCCTTCCAAATGTTGGATGCCTGTTGAGCCGACCTTAGGGGGGTAGTGCTAATTAGTAGTAGTTTAAGCGATTTCATTTGACATGGAAAAGTATTCTTCACAGCCATCATATGGTCCAATGTAGGAAACAGCAATTTATGCAAACATGGCACAGGAAACGGGGTGAAGATTCAATGTGGTGAATCACTCGTGACATGGCCGTCCTCAGAAAGCCAAACTGTGCAGAACGTGCATGCAAACATACCAACGCGCATTCTATCACAGCACGTTATGTTGTTGTTTACCCTTTTGACTTCCATGTTGGCCTCTTTCTGGCAATTATGTTGCATGCTAGGCGCAGGGCATCACTGCACATTAAAAGTTGTGAATCGCGATCAACATACTCTTGGTTGCCAGCTGCTAGTTTGAGCCGGTCCTCTAGCCATAGCAAAGCACATCGTCCATTGTATGCCTTCAATGTGAGCAGCACGTCGTTGTTGCTCTTGAGCAACTTAGCCAAATGCAGACGAAGGCAGTGGCACACAGGCTGGTCTTGAAAACATGCTTTCAGCGACCAACAGTACACAGACCAAGGCACAACACCAGGTGTGAAAGGAGGTTGGCTGGTTTCGATGCGGTGTGCTCTACAGAACGCTCGAAAATCGCTGTAGGCTGCTGCCAGCTGGCGCTGCAAGGTCTGATCCAAAGGAGCAAAGAAACCTAGTTGCAGCAGTGTCCACCTCATGAGCGAGAGAAGGGGGCAAGCCAGAAAAAACAAGCGCTTACAGCTTGTGGGTTCCTGCACGACACACATTCAGGCCAAGACGCAAAGCAGCCCCGTTTGTAACATACAAGAGCCCAAGATGGACCACGTGCATCAAGTCCCATCTTACGCAGCTTGGATGGAAGTTCTTCAAAGCCAAAATTGGACCTTTGCAAGTAAAACCAACACATGAATAAGTTCAATGGCCTGCCTAAGCAAGCAAATAAAATAATC